TTAACAGCCGGGCAGAGGCGGTGCTGAGGGCCGGGGTTTGGGGGTGGGATGGCAGGGGTAGGGGAGTGGTTGGGCTGGGGGAGCTTAGAGGGCTTTGCCAACCCAAACCATTCTGGGATTCTACGATTCTGTGTGGATACCGGGAAGGATTCTCTGCAGCTGCACTGCTTAGAAAGCAATTTTAAAAATCGGAGCTCGGCAGCAGAAGGGGCTGCTGAGGGCATTCTGCTATGGGGTAAAGGCTCCGTTCATGGGAATAGCCAAGAGTTAAAAATTAAAGGGCTGATGCAACACGACAGAAATTAAAACAGGTGCTTTTGCAGATTCCAGCTCTTCCCAGCTAGTGATAAATCCAGTTCCTAGTATCTTTTACAGAGCTGTGTGATGGAGCAGGGGGAAAACACAGCAGGATTCAGTTCCTTTTGAAGGCATTCAGTTAAATATTTAACTTAAGGTACAGGGCAAACCACGCCGGCAGTCAGCGCTCGGCTCCCAGAGGCTTTCCCAGCACGATGCCAGGCAGCTCTCGTGTCCCATCGTGCGCGCGCGGCGCCCAGCACCAGCCCCTGCCGCCGCTTTGGCCCCTCTGACCGAGTACGCTCGGACCGACCTGGGCAACGTTCTCCAGCTAAAAGGTACTATTTGCAGCCACAACACAATGTAAGGAAAAAAAACTAAGCCAGTCTTTCCGATCTTTCCTTAGTCCAGTATCACCTGTGTCGATGTTTAAAACCTCAATCACAACATGCTTCTCGGGAAAAGCTGGAGCAAACTTATGAACGATCTCACAGGGTTAAAATTTATGGGTTTAACCAAAAAAAAAAAAATCCTACTTCTTGCCACTTGGACAAAATAAAATTTAACTTAATAAACATTTCATCTACATTATGGCTTACAGAAAACCTACATATTCAAGAATCCAAAAAATGAGTAACTAAATATTCTTAACTGCTCAGTAATGTAAATGCTACTGAAATAAGGCATTTCTTTCTCTGGTTAAGATAGCCCTGCTGAAAAACTGCTTTCCAGAAAATATTATGGGCCTCAAATCTGGCCTAAAATATGCAGGCAAAAAAAAAAAATCAAAGATTGTTTAGCAACTGTAATGGAAGCACAAGGTTTATAAGTGATGAAACCGCAGTATCCCACTGGATCAAGCAGTCGAGTTTGAAATGTCACAATATTTGAGTTCATTTTTTATTCGTTTGATTATTCATCTAAATATTTGCAGATCCAGTGCAGACATCCACAGTGCAACTTGAGGCCGGTGCCCCTCGTCCCAGGCAGTTGTAGGCAGCGATGAGGGCTCCCCTCAGCCTCCTCTGCTCCAGGCTGAACCCCCCCAGCTCCCCCAGCCGCTCCTCGTAAGCTTCTCCAAAGATTTTAAAAGAACAGTTTCATGATGAATTAAGAAAATAGTCTTCTATTTCTGTCCTGATATCCCAGAGGTTGCGTCCTTGCTCCAAGATAATTTTAAACCCACCTTTCATCCAGCATCTCAAAACACAATTAATCTACCGAAGTGCTAAGACTTCTGCCCATAGCACCCAGAAAAATATCCCAGCTGGCCCAAGAAAGGGCATAAACAGATTATGAATGATTTTAGTATGGAGACTATAACAACTTAAAATCTCTGTGGACGAGCAAAAGGAGAGGCGAGGGGGAAAAGCAGGCACAGAGTTTGATAAACCAGAGAGGATTTCCGAGCTGCAGCACATGCAATAGCAAAAGGTTGGATTTTAGGACTTAGAAAGTCCCTTCCCAGTGCAGGATTTCCATGGGGTATTAAAAATAGCTACGGGAGGCTTGTTACTGTAAAGGATGGGAATTATTGCATGGCATGGAAGGGAAAGACCTACGGCTAACGTACCCTTTTTCCACCTGCCTACTGAAAGGATAAAAAGTGGGAGAGAAGAGGTATTTGCTTTATTAGCTGTGAGTATCAATGGCTCCACGAAGAAACATTTGCAGGCTCAGGCTTTTTATTTAGGAGGGGTGTATTTCTGGATACGGTGTCCAAACCTCCCTCTGGCTGGCTGGCCCTGCACCTCACTTCCCTTTACATCCCCGTCCCGAGACGGCTCAGGCTTCAGAAAATAAACCTATAGGCTGAAATAGCCCACAGGTTATATTTGGCTCTAGCCTAGGTAACGGGGGCATGTTTGTGAGTCGAGTCCTGCAGCGTGAAGGGAACCGCAGCCGGGTAGGGTGTCGGGCTGCAGTTGTCACCCATGAATCAGAGGTGAAGCCACAGGCTCCGGGGGAATCCCAGGGATCAGGCTGAGAAGGAAACACCCCCCCTTCGTGCCTGGTGGGTGGCTCTCCTGGTACGCGCTCGCCTTCGCATTTGTACCGCAGGGGTTTGGTTTCACCCCGGGTTAGTACGTCTCCCCGGAGCAGTTTTTGGGAGCGGGGTTGATCTCCTCTGGCAAAAGGCTTCAGGCATCTCTTTGAGGGTGGGACGCAGCCCGCTTGGCTTGGACTAAGGGCTGCCCTTTCGGATACCTCCAGCTGGGTGAAATGCACGGCCCTGCCAGAGGTCCTCACCACCCACCGCTCTTATCCTGACCCAAATCATATGAAGAACCATTTCTGCTTCCTGCTTGTGGTCCCCAAAGAGTTAAAGAACTTTGCTATTAGGGATAAAACAAACAAAAATGCCTAGCACCTGATTTTATTCACCAAAGAACTTCATCTCCTTAGGTTTTGGGGAGCAATATGGTTTAGGCATTTGCCCACGATGAGTCAAGGGACACTGGGCTGGCTCTATCTACACACCCTTAAAGAGAAGCGCGGGATACAACTATTTATTCACACAGCAGCATGAGATCTCGAATGATGAAACCCTGCCTTCCAGCTTTACTTTGCTGGAAGGAAAATTCAGAAATTCAGAAAAAAAAGAGGAAAACTAAACCCTGAGCAGGGGCAACACCAAGTGTGTGTCTGCACGGAGCATGGCCCGCTGGCACGGGTGAGCTCTGCCCATGCTGCAGGCGAGGGGGCATGCTGGCGCCAGGAGCCGCAAAGCCGTGCGAGCATGGCATGGGGCCAACGCAAGCCAGTTAAGACAAGAGTTAAGCTTAGGCTTGGGTGGACATCCCCCACGGGCAGATTGATCTCATGTCTGCCTGGAGAAGACCTCATTCCATGCGCTGTATCTACAGTCCCTTGCAGGGAGGCCACGGCTAAAGGGCTTGGGGGTGATGGGTGGGTTATCCCTTCGTGGTTTTCTGCAATGCCGCGCCGGCAGCGCGGGTGGCGAGGGACGGTACCTCACGATGAAGTCCGAGTGTGCGCTCTGCATGATCTGCTTCTCCGAGCGGATGTGCTCCTGCTGCCTCGTGTCCACTATGTGACGTTTCTTCAGTATTTTCATGGCAAACGTTTTCGACTCTTCGCTTTTCAACTGGACCTTGGGTAAAGCAGGCAAACGCAATGGTTAGAATCATGGAATCGTTTGGGTTGGCAAAGCCCTTTAAGCTCCCCCAGCCCAACTGTTCCCCTACCCCTGCCATCCCACCCCCAAACCCTGGCCCTCAGCACCGCCTCTGCCCGGCTGTTAAATCCCCCCAGGGCTGGGGACTCGACCCCTTCCCTGGGCAGAAGCGGGGCGCATCCCCCCACCAAGCCGTGCCAGCCCAGCTGCACGGGCACCCAGCAATCCCACCACCCTGCCTTCAAAAATTCCTCTCACTTCTCCAGTCATCAGCTTCACTTTGGCATAAACCAGATTTCGAAATACTTGGCCTATTGCTAAACTGAAAAGCCATTTCTAAAACTCCCTGTGTTTTAGGGAAATCCCCCAGGCCAGCGCTACCCCCAGGCCGGGAGGTGCTGCTAGCTTACGTCCAACTCTCACAAAGCCTTCTCCTCCAGCTCCTAACAAACGCACCGGCTCTGGCAGGCAAACGCAGTCCTCGGATGCTTGCAGAGGATGAGCAGAGCTGGCTTTTCAACAGCACTGCTTGGTCACGTCTTTACTTTTAACCTTAAGCCTCAGCAACCTATTTTTAGCCTGATTTCCCGAGCCGAGGTTGAAGGGAGTTGTTTGCTTGCTCAGCGGTGTAACCCTGGTAACTCCTGAACCCCGAGCCACCCCCAGCCCCTCCGCGGGACTGGTACCCATCCCAAAGACGGCTGGAACGCAGCCATCCTCTCCATCTTGGCCATGGCCTCTTCGTCACCACGAAATGAGAGAGGAGCCTCGTCACGGACCCACCAGGCCTCTTCATTTGCTAAATTCCCCCCGCAGCTGCTCACAATAACATTGCCAGTTAAATGCTTTTCCCCCTGTATAGTAAGAGGTGCCATTTGGCGACTTCTATTTTGGTTTTCTTGTAGGAATTTGGCTTCAGCCAGCAGACAAGCGGCTCGTCTGTCGTCAGCCCCCGTAAGAAATTCAGCTTGCCTTTTAGGTTAGGAGACAACATTCATGCAATCACAATGTATTTAATGTAACATCTATTCTTGTATTTGCTTGGTAACAGAAATGGGGGCTGATAGGAGACATGGCCCCTTCCACGCCCTCCCCAGGCCGCCTCTGCGTCTGCTTCGCTCATGCTATGGCTCAGGTCGCAGGGGAAAAGCAAGGAGGGACAGCGCCCTCAGCATCCCGGCTTCATCCGAAATCAAACTGCTACTCGGGTGTCCACAACGACACAGAGAGCTGACCCTCACCACCACCACCACCGATTCAAAATAAACCCGAATAAAGGAGAGTCTACCCATCTATGGCCAAAGCTGTCATTGTAAGCGCTTCAAGATGTACCTGGTATCAATATGTACCTATGTATGCCGGTGTTTCCCCGTCTGTTTTAAAACCACCTGGGCTTTCAGTCCCCAGATTTGTGGCTTTTTGTTTTCCCTGCAGCCACAAGCATCCCCAAGCCCACATGAAATTTTCCCTTTTCCAAAGGCGCTATTCTGCATTTCACACCGAGAATCGTCATTTTGAGCTTTGCATGAAGCCTGTGTTTGCCATTTAATCTTCAGGGAGACGGGGTGCAAAGACCCAAACAACCCACATAAAATAAAACATTTTTCCTCGTCTGTGCACCAGAGCCACCCACTCATCCATGGAGCTGGGGCTACACGGTGCCGCCTTCGCTACGTGGTTTGACCACCGCGCAAAGCAGAGAGAAATTCTGCATTTATGGCAGACTGAAAGTGATAAAAACATTTTCAGTTTGGGGATACGGTTTGGAATTTGGTTGGTTGGTTGTTTCATTTGGAATAAATGGCATATGGGCTTTAGTCCAACCGTCTGAACTCAATTATTTGATATTATCCCATCTAAATCAAACCAGGCTGCTTCAGGGGAGCAGGGTGAGAAGCGAGGCGACACACAGGGAATGAGGAAAGTTAAGGTAAAATCTGGGTTGAGCAGAATTTACCAAAACTTGCAAAAAAATTCAGGTTTAGTACGACTAAGCATATACTTCTGGAGAACCGATCCCTCTTGCTTTTGAGGGCAACCCAGGCTGCATGGCTTCCCACCAGACCCCTCCGGCTGGCGATGGACAAGCGCCATCAGCTGCCACACAAATTATTTCAAACAGAAGTCTGTGCAAATCCCTATTAGATGTTACAGGTGGGATTCCTTTTCTTTCAGCCTGTGGTTTTTAAGGTTAGGCTGTCCACAGGCAAACGATGACGAACAGTGGAACCAAGAAAGCAGCTCCAGTAGCTGGTCAACTGAACCTGGAACGTTAGAGAAAAAAAAGAAAAACCCCAGGTATTTGGCACTCCAACCTTACTTGAAACATCCATTCCTATTTTCCTACTGTTCATCTGTACTAGACAACAGCATCAAAAGTAAACACAACAACCCGGTGGAGACTCAGATGAATAAATTCCAATATTTCATAATAAAGGGTAGTACGAATGAACCCCATTGTGTCCCCTTCTGGTGGTATCATTTCGATACCATGGATTCTGACCACCTAACTTTTGTGTCTCTCATTAAAAAGGCTATTTCCTTTATTAGTTACTGTTTTTTCAGGGGTGCCTGGGCACATGGTGGAGCGTCTGAGGGAGTCACCTGCTTTCCTACGCGTACCTGCGCAGCCTCCAAATAAATACAGGGAAGGAAATTACCGTAAGGAAGCAGAAGACAGTGGTTTGATCTGGTGTTTGATGATGCTATGGCTGCCACCAATGTTTAAATATAGAACAACCAGGGGCTACAATTAGCTAAAGCCAGACTTTGACCTAATGCCACGGGAGAATTTAGATCCATTTTCCATTCCCACCCCTGCCGCACTTCGTAACACAGAGGATTTGCAGGAGCTCGAGAGCGCAGGGGGATTCATGTACATTAAATGTGCCAATGCACCAAACCAAGCTGGCACGGTACAAAATCCAAGGCTTACAGTTTGGATCACCTGGCTGTCCACCGGGAAGTGAATCCTGCAAACTCCTCCTCGAACATGCTGGAGTCCACCCCTTGCTCTGCTGTTTCTGCCAGATGTGGGAACGGCGAGGGCTATTTTCATGATGGAAAGCTGGGCAGCTCCAGGTCATTTCTATTATTCTTATGAACAGTAATCTATAATATTTAACTTGTGATAGTTAATAGAAAAAACCCCAATGTCTAATCCCAATCTCATTTCAAAAGTAGAAAAAAAAATATCCAGGAGTCACCTGGACTTTTCATTTAAAGAAAGCAAAGGATTAACACTGAGAAGATGAGAACGGGCTGCTAAGAACACCCCGTTCTCCAATTCGAATGAGAAAAATAGCACAGGGAGCCCCAGACACCACAAGGATTTTGGCTCTGAGCTCAGAAGGAGCGGGGTACGCTGGGCAGGAAGCTCAGCCCCCCAGAGAAACCCACCACCAAAATCTCCTGAATGCTTCAGAAAAGGGAAAAGGGCTCAGTTTTCCAAGGCAGGCAGTTTGCAAAGGAGCCATCCTTGCCACCCAGCTCACAAGATCAGCTTTCCCTCGCTTGGAAGCAGCATCTTGTATTTCAAAGGCCCCGGGACTATTGATTCGGTGGAGACCTGCCGGAGCCTTGGGTTTCAATCGCTCTTCTCCGAGAGCAGCCGAGCCACTAAGGGGACGGACACAGGGCAACCACCCAACTCAGCCTTTTATTTGCAAGTTAAAAGGATTTCTGGTCCCTTCCCTCCCCCTTTCTTCACTCCTCTCCTCGCAGTGACCTTGCCCAGTCCCAGCTCTCCTGCCAGCACAAAGATCTCCAAAAAGATCTCCCTTGGAGATTCTGCGCACTGATGGCAAGAGCAAACATCAAGGCCACTGCAAATGTCCACAATGAATGATAATGTTCAAGTTGTGTATCTGCCGAAAGGCCCCGTGGTAGGAAAAAATCAGAAATAAAGTTCCTAGCACTGAGGATACTTCCCTTCCTCTCCACCTTCACACACAGGTTTCAGCTTCCCATTTTAGGTCCAGTCTCATCACCGAGCTCTGGCACATGGGCCACGGCTGCAATCCTGCCTCCACCTTGCGTGGGCTGTATCGCAGAACGCCCAGCGGGGCGAAGAGCTAACCTGCACCCTCCTGCTGCAGCCACCCCGAGCCCGAATCCCCGCGACGCTGCGGCTCCCCTCGCCGAACGCCCCCCGCGGAGCTCCTGCCCTCCCTGCTACAGAGGAGCCTCCGGAGGAGAACACGAGCGCTCTCCGCTGTGGAGCAGGAACACATTTTCTCTTCAAAAGACAAGAAAACGCAATAGGGAGCATAGCTAACCGGAGCCCAAACTCCACCTTGAAGAGGCGACGCACAGAGCTAGAAAGAGGGAAAATTCATTAGATTTGGGCATTCTGCAGGATTCTTATGCAGGAAATGAACTGCATCCCAGTGACAAAATAACACCAGGGATGTTTATTACTGAACGAGCCAACTGTAGAAGCAAAACAGAGTAAGCAATAGCCACTTTTATTTTGCATATCTATGTATTTTGCATATATATTTTTGCGTATGTATGTGCAAAAAAGATAAATCTGTAACTATGCAAAATGTCCATGGTTATATATATTTATATGCACGTGCATATGCATATAAACATAAATAAATATAAATATAGCAATAAAAATACATATCTATTTTGCAAAATACTCTAGTCCGAGCACTGCAGTGATGGGCTATCACGCTTAGATTTGGAGCTGCAGCCGCACCCTCAGCCGGCAGGTATTACCTGGACAGGGCTCCGTGGGGAGGGTCGGGCTCCTCCACCCTTCAGCCCCCTCCCGCTGCACGAGCTCCCAGCACTTGCCACCCCCAGCAGCCATTCCTGCCCCCCGCCTGTGACACCCTCCCGCGCCTCCGCAGCAAGGAAGCCCCGCGACGGCGGAGCGGGCAGGGGCTGAAGCAAGCAGCTCGCTTCTGTGCCAGCCCCAAAGCTGCCCCCGCCCCACGTGCCCGGGGGAGCGCCATCCACTCGGTGTC